ATGATTAAATGGAAAATGCTATATCATAATCAGTTTTATAACGGCAAATAACCAGAATTTAAGATACAAACAATTTCAACAGATTTTCGGATTTAGCCGCTTTGGCGAAGCTCACGTATCATCAATTTCAGCCAGCTGATCGTAACAAACAGCAGAAACACACGAAATGAAAACGAAAAATGGAGCTAAAACTTAAAAAAAATTAAAATGTCTGTCTGCAATCAACCCATTTGTTTTGAAAAACTTTCTGTATTAGTTGTCATCATAAAAACTTAGCTAAGTTATAAACGTTTTAAAACCTAATTTTCATTCAAAAAAACTTAAATTAAAATTAAAAATTCAATTAAAAAAATTAATTATTTTAATGTTGGCTTAAGTTAACTAAAGGTAACAACACAATAATAATAATAATATAATATTCAATTATAATATACACAATTTTGTCGAAAAATCTTACCAAATATCATTCAGAGTCGAATTACACATAGAAACTTTCCGAATATAATTTGCCGAAATCTTTTAACGGCACTATCTAGAAGAGACGGTCCCGTTACGTTCCACCTTGTTGCAGATAAGTACGGCCCCAAAAAGTCTGTGAGGGTGTAATTTGATCGTTGAGTTCAAGAGCATCTTTGAGGCAATTTACATATAGAAAACTTTTGTATTCTATTCTTTTTATTCCCAAATTTTTTATAAATTAATATCAGTAACTGATGGCCCAATCTGGTGTCAAACTAGCCGCCAGCGTATTTGGGAGACACGCCATTTATAACTGTCCGCCGTGGTTAGCAACCCTAATGGGAATTATATAGAGCATGGGAATTATGTAGAGCCTTATATACTATAACGAATTGAACCTAATCGTTCGGAAATTATGGAAACCCAAACTTCTCATTTAAAATTGGAACCTCGGGGTTTTCACTCTGTTCATTATGATGTGTGAATCGCTATGTTACGAAGCAATTTGGTTTAATTGCTATAAGGATATTAAGATATCGATTATTTAGATTAAGTGAGTGCCTTTTAGTCGCCAGTGAATTTAAAATAATTTTAAATTAATTTTTAGTTAGTGTCCAGTACTCTTAAAAAGTCATTTTTGGATCAAAATAGAGACATCGACAACAAAAGAGAATAAGATGAGTAAATAATGTCGATTAACATAAAATGAAATGAAATTGGTCTTTGACACTATTCATATTCTCGTATGTGAGAACATGTAAATAATTTCAAATAGACTCCCAGGTCGATTTTTATCTGTAACTTAATGAACAATTTGAGTTTGCACGCGTTGCTTACTGATGTATCCGAGTAATAAGCAATAACGTCCCCGGCTGAGGCACGCCAATGCCATTTAAAATTTTAACCGGAATTTCCGCATCGATGTGACAAACCAAAGCCGCGATGGTGTTAATTCGGTTAAACCCGTTATTCCGAAAACTTGAAATGCGATTTTGGGATTGCGGGAATTCATTATCGATCCGGCTAATGTACGCCGAATGGCCGGGGGGGAATTGACAAACGAAACGACAGATGAAATGGTTACTACTAAACAAACAAACAAACGAACTGGAACAGTAGCTACTTAACCATGGTTCAGCTTGATTCCTGCTTGGGAACAGTTTACTGACAGTTCAGTAAACTTGCATACGATGAAATTGGGATCCTCCAAAAACACTATGTTTTTACGATAACTAAGTAATTAATTAGTATTTTCTAAGATACTTCACATTTTCTGAAATACTTTTTTAGTAATCAAAGAATATACTTTATTACAATTAAACAAAATCGAAGCCAAATGAAAGAATAGTTACATTTCTGAAACAACTAGAATCGTGTGGGTTCGTCAAGAGCAAGGCAACTAAAACTTTATTTCGCCCAAAATAAAAATTAAACTCGATGCTCAAATAGACCATGGAAAAAAACATTTCTTCTAAGAAACCTATCCAAAGATGCGTCTGAACATACTCTTAAAATTGCATACTTTGTCTGGATTCAGATTATTGTCACAACAGCGTTCACTGTTTCCGACAAGAAAAAGAGATAATTTTCAATTTTACCATATTGAATAAGTCTAGAACCGGTGTGAATTAACTAGCCCTAAAATCAACAACAATTTACCAACCTCGTAATATAAATTTTTGTAGTAAAACCAGGGAGACGTACGGACACTAGATCCTAACTAAATATCATGATTGCCTGTAAATTGTAAAATAAGTGGACTGCATCGTCATGAGGTACTGCAGAATGTAACTTTATTCGAAAATACAGAAACAACCTAAAACAGATTCTTCGAAGCCGGTCAAATTTACTTTAAAAATTTACATGACGATTGAGAATGAGAGAGCAATAGATAACAGAGGGAGCTTACATGTCTTTTTTGTTACAATTTATATTGGATTGTCAGTAAACACAATAAAAAAAAAGGATACTCTAGAAATATTGTAGTCCTGTTTTATACAGATTCGAATTTTATTACAAATATTAATTAAAGATAAATAACCTACGTTTCTTGTAAAACGTTAAATACTGATTAGTTAAACCTGTGTACTTTTTAATACCAACCTATATTTTTTTGAAATACCGCTTTTCCTCGATAATGTTTCTGTGCAAGATTTAAAGAAACCTGGAACGCTCATGCAATTTTGCGAATTGGTATGGATCATTTCTTGCCCAATGTTGAGAACATTGCCTTTTTTTCGTATGTTTAATAATTTCATAAGAATAATGTAAAAAAATAGGTTTGAAAAATAATGGTTTCATTATAAATAATTTTTCTAATTTATTTACAAATCGGTATAGGGCACCAAAAATATTCAAAATCAAAAAGTTCCCACGATCAAAAAGAGAATTTAAACAAATAGTTCGAGAGGGTTAGGTAGATGGAGTTTTTCCCATAAAAGTATTTCACCCTGTATATATTGGAAAAAAGCTTAACTATTTTTTTAAGTGTATTAAGTGTACCAAATTTCAGTTCATTATTATTAAAATTATAGAAGAAAACAAAAATCTTGACACTTGGGCGCCCTGTATCTCGGTAACAAGGCGTAACATGTTTATATATAAACCTTTTTTCTTATTTTCAGTTGACGCCCGTATTATTGAATCAACAACAAGCAGTAATAATAAATATATTTTCTTAAACAATAGGATTTAATGCTGCCGAGTAATTTATTACCCTTGGCGTTAGGAGTAAAATTACTATGAAGCAAATCTAACAAGAAAGTTTCTTAGTTCCTATTTCTTGCGAAACGGCAAGTGCAACTTTGGTATATAACTTCTGTGGTATGAAACATCTTTAAAATTGTAAATAAACACCCGTAAGGTTTTCTGCCTTAAAGGAATTTTAAAAATTACATTTTCTTTACAAAAATAGGTTAATTAATTTTAAATGCTTAACGCGAAAAGTTTTCCATTAATGAATTTCGGCAAAGACGCACATTTTCGCATTTACATATATACCTGCCTGCGTAACACAACAAAAATAAGTGATTTCCCGTAAAGCTAATAATTAATTAATATCAACTCTTCAAGAGTTTTAATAGAGCAGTCAACCTGAATCACCCTGTAACCTACAACGTTTAATTTTTCGGTTATCGCAGATGTTGGTTGTACAAATAATTTACCATTTTATCGATCTCATGACCTGAATTGTTCACGGTCAATAAAACTTCCGTTCACTACGTTTATTATTAAAACGTGTAAAATGGGTTTCTTCCTTTTTGTATTAACAATCTCTGATAAACATTCTTATGTAATAACAACGCGTAATAAGAACAATATATAATACTAAAATTGTTTAAAAAAAAACCTCAATAATAGTTTCAAATATTACGAATCAAGAAATGCCAGCAGCCCCACCGCCAAATAAATATACTGGAAAGATTTTTTTTACTGTTTTTTTCTTTGAATAAGTGTGACCAAAATAAGGTCCTAATAAATAAATGATAACAGCTATCGTTGTTAAACTAAAGAGCTTCCCAATGCGAATTTCAGAGCCCACTGCGAAAAGCGAATTACAGGATCCACGAGTGGAACCCTGTTGGCAAAATTTGATAAAAAACTATAATTATCCTTGACGACCAACATCTAAATCAAAAATATACAAGGTATTGCTTTTAATATGACAAATCAACGTGCGAACTAGTATGCCAGACATATATATAATAATATACTAAGAGTGCTAAGAAAAAAAATAAAAACATGAAATAATTCTCCCTCACAATTGAACAAAACATTCATTACCTTAAATGTAGATGATTATCCTACACATGGTAATCCTAGTTGTACGACACTAGAAAATGATATTGCAGAATGACAGAAAAACTATTAGCTGTAGTAAATTTACACAATAATTGAAATACACCGTCCCACCATATCGCTGTCAAATAAAACCAATATAAATCGTATGGGCTCAAGGAAAAGAATTTGGTTCGTAAAAAAATATTTAAAATGAAATATGTAAATGTTTTGTGCAAGTGACGTCATAAGAAGAAGAAAAATTGTGGTTGATCGAATGATAGATCTTTAAATAATAGCAAGAAAATAAGACAATTGCTGCGATGGGGAAGAATAGACTTTTATTAATCTGCAATACATTGTATATTATGTATATATTTGAAAATTGACCAGCCTTATTGTGATTTTTTCAATAAGTATTTAATGCAAAAGTTTTAGGGCTATTCCTGTTATCTAATTTATTTTACTTAACAAATGATCATGGTGGTTTGAAATAAAACTTATAACTATTGTATCTATCCTTCCTGAAAAAAAAAACCATAATAATGTCTGAATGTTGGTTTCAAATTATACATACTCAGTCATATATCTATCAAAAAGTTTTGTGAAGTGATCAAAAGCCAAGTAGTCTAACCTAACCTATTTTTATATCGGGAATCTGTCAAATAGCTTTTGTTCACATTACTAAACATAGACTACGTCCATCACTTCACATATTTTTTTTACTAAAAAAAAACTATTCTTGGTATATATGGTTTACTTACTTTGTCGAAAGCTTTGGGCCTGTGGCATCGGTACTCCCGGTTATCCGGCTCCATGCGTAGGCCGGGGTGAGGGCGGCAGAGGGGGGGCCGGGCAGTAGCAGCCGGGCAGGGGCGCACCACTCTAGCCGAGCTCCATGGGCGAGCTCTGCCCTCGCCCCATCACGCCCACACTCACCCCCACATACAACCAATAACTGAAAATAAAAATAGGAGTGAGGCGTTTATTCATAACTCAATCCAACTATTATTTAAGTGCTTTTTTATTTACAATATTCGCTATATGATTATAACTTTTATGATTCACTCTAGGATGGGCTAAACATTTAAATAGATAGCCTTTAGTTCTACTTTCAATAAAAATAGTTACAATAACTTTATTTACGTACGCCATCAATTTCGAAAAGCTTTATTTTGAGTGACAAGTGGATTTCAGAAATTCTGAAGGCAAAAATCTAGAAACTGGATGAGGTATATTCATGACGATCGTGCCAAATATGCCCTATCACCTTTTTGCTAGTTTGCTAGGGTTTGTTATTAGTTTGGTTAGTTTCGGTTTGAACTGTTTGCCTAGTTTTAACGTAGTCTATAGATGGTGCTGTCAATCACTTAATAAAATAGTCCACATTTTTTTGTAAAAGTGTTAAGTACTTGGAATAAATACGATTATATTTATTTATTTACATTTATTACATTAATTCAAACCACCTATTCAAGGACATTGATACAATTACGATTTCTAAAATACTCACTTTTTTTGTAAAAATAACAAACACATGTATATATATATATATACATATATATATATATATATATATATATATATATATATATATATATATATATATATATATATATATATATATATATATATATATATATATATATATATATATATATATATATATATATATATATATATATATATATATATATATATATATATATATATATATATATATATATTTATATATATATATATATATATATATATATATATATATATATATATATATATATATATATATATATATATATATATATATATATATATATATATATATATATGATGACACTATATTCCGGGATATCATCCGTTCGCTCGTTGAACTCCGACTGGAATCCTGCATCCGACTGGAATCCTGCAAATCTTGCATCCGACTGGAATCCTGCAGACGTTTCGCCAAAATCTCACTTGGCATCTTCAATGCTCGCGTTCCGAAGTGTTCG